TCTTCTGTCTCTGTTTTTAAACTTTCTGGGATATTTCCTTGACTTCTAACCCTTCAGTAGAATTTTTCATTTTATTTATTATGTTTTTTTTTTTTTTTTTTTTTTTTTTTTTTTTTTTTTTGGATTTTCGCTCTTGTTGCCCAGGCTGGAGTGCATTGGCGCGATCTCAGCTCACTGCAACCTCCACCTCCCAGGTTCAAGCGATTCTTCTGCCTCAGCCTCTCTAGTAGCTGGGATTACAAGCATGTGCCACCATGCCCAGCTAATTTTTGTATCTTTAATAGAGACGAGGTTCCTCCATGTTGGTCAGGCTGGTCTCGAACTCCCGACCTCAGGTGACCTGCCTGCCTTGGCCTCCCAAAGTACTGGGATTACAGGCCTGAGCTACCGCCCCTGGTTTGTGTTTTGTTTTTTGTTTTTTGTTTTTTTTTTTTTTTTTGAGACAAGGTCTTACTCTGTCATCCAGGCTGGAGTGCATTGGCACTGTCTCGGCTCACTGTAACCTTGACCTCCCAGGCTCAAGCAATCTTCCCACCTCACCCCTCTCCATCCCCCAGCAGCCAGGACTACAGGTGTATGCCAGCATGCCTGGCTGATGTTTGTATTTGTAGTAGACATAGATTTTTGCCATGTTATCCAAGCTCATCTCGAACTCCTGGGCTCAAGCAGTTCACCTGCCTTGGCCTCCCAGAGTGCTGGGATTACAAGTGTGAGCCACTGCACCCAGCTTTGTTTTGAAATTTTGAACTTAACTAGTTTTAAACATCTTGACACATTTGCTTATCATTCTCCTTCTATTTCTGAACCCTTTGGAAGCAGGTTTCAGGCACGATGCCCTTACTATTTCAGTGTGTGTTTGCTAAGAACAAGGATGTTTTCTTCTGTGAGCTGGGTGACACCACGATGGTGGCCACATGCGGAGCCCTTCTCACTGTAGAGTGATAAATGGTCCATTTCTGTTTGGTCCCAGAAGTCAGAGGTAGAGTTAATTCCTTGCCTTTCTCCAGCATGGTTCCCGGCACACAGTAGGTACTCCCTGAGTGCCTGTGATGGTCAGTTCTTGCACGACTGGACTTGCAGGTGGAAGTGGCATTACACGTGGGCAGGGCATATGCGGGCCTGTGTGTGTGTAGATGCAGGCGGACAGGGACTGGGCAAAGGCTGCCACCTGCAGAGCTGTGGGCTCGTCCACGCCAGGTGTCCATGTCCGTGGTGTGCACCTGTGTGTAAGTCCAGCTGGGCTGTAAACAGCCATCTCTTTTCTGAAAGTTGATCTGTTGGTCATTCTAAGCCCCAAGCAGCCAGGGGCTCATGGGGTCTTCATGAACACTCCCCTCCTGACCCCCGCATGTGCAAAGGTCCTGGGGCTCAGGGGTCACAGGCTCCATTGCCCCAGTGGTTGTGGGGCATCTGGGCTTGTCAAGACACCTTTGCTTCTGCCCTCGGGCTCCCTTTGGGGACTTTTGTCCTTGCTGGGGTCCGGAGTTTTCTGGCAAGGCCTAGAGTCCCCTGCCAGGTGCTCTTCCTCCCCTCCTCTTCCAGGCACAGCCCCCCACCAGCACCTTATGATTTCACGGAAAACAAAAGCCAGGAGGCTGTCCGCCCTGACAGTTCCAAGGGGAGGCTCCAGAGCAGCCAGCCATGAACCCCAACTACAATTCAGGAAGCTGCCTGCGGGGAGGGGGAGGGAGGGGAGGGGGATTCTCTAGGAGCAGGCAGGCAGCCACGCTGGAGAGCCCCTCCCCAAGCTCTTCATTCCAGCCCTGCCCTGCCCCCTGCCTTGCCGATGGAGCCTGTCACCCTAAACCCGGCCTCAGTAAACCAACCCAGGCCAGAGAAAGAGAAGTGCGGCCCCCTTGCCCGTGTAAGTGGAACTGCAGCAGAGCCGATAGCTCAGCCATGAAAAAATCATGAGGTCGCCAGGCTGCAGGTCTGTTCTCAGGAACAACACCCGGGGCTGGGCCCCTGGGACCTGGTGTTGGGCCAGCAGTGAGGACATCAAGGCCCGGTGTGCCCAGCAGGGTGGCCCTCACCTGGCTGCAGGGCCAAGGGGACAACAGAGCCTGGGCAGGGGCTTGGCATGGGGACGAGGAGGAGAGTGGAGTACCTGGGAATCACTGGAGACAGGGATGCCAACAGGAGTGGCAGCAGTCAGGGCCTGGCACTGAGGCAGGGGCTCCTCCGATGCCTGCAGGGAGGGCCGAAGGTGCTGCTGGCCTGTGAAAGGCATGGTCCGCAGCCGCGGGGCTGCCCCAGGGCTCCATGTTCCAGTTTCCAGGGCTCCAGGCCAGCAGGGTGAGGAGCGACCTCTCCCCCAGCTGCACACAGGCAGGCCTGTACCAGCTCACACCACCAGTACCAGCACTGCAGGGCACCCAGCCTGGAGCACGTGCCGGTCACCATGGCAGCAGACAGCGTGCCAGCAGGAACCCAGGCTGGGCTCTAGCATCCAGGATCAGTGGTCTAGGCATGGCGGCGGGGAGGGGCTGGGGTCATTCCCCTTGTAGCACCAGAGGGGCCAGCTGGGTGAGAGGGAGGGGAAGGGGGACCCTGCGGCGCCAGGACTGCCCGTCCTCCAGCACCTCAGAAAGGGAACGATTTCCTGAGGGCTCTCAGGAAACCTGAGGGTGGACACCAGGGGCCAGTGGGGGCACATGGCTTCCTGGTCCTTCCCTAGCTGGCCTTGCGCTGAGAGGGATGGAGGCTGAGACTCGGGCCTCAGGGGAGGCTGTCGGGGGATTCTGATGGCTGAGGCACTCCTTGCCTCTGGGCTCAGGCGAGGCCAGGAAGGCTGTCACAGCTGGCTGCTCCCTGGACCAGGGGATCAGGGGTACTGCTACCCCAAACAGCCTCTCAGTGCCCACCAGAACAAGGCACCCCCTCCTAGGTGCAGACCTCAGCTTTGGCCTCACTGGGCGTGGGCTTCCACCCACCAGCGTCCGAGGTGGGTGAGGGTGGGGCGTGGAGCTCTCCCCACAGTGCAGCCTGCACAGGTCAGGGTGGCAGGCGCGTGTGTACCCCGCGTGAGTGGTTGCATGGCACCTCTGGAGGTGTGACCACAGGGCTTGGTGGGGGTCAATGGGAGGGGGTGCTCCCTGTTGCCTGAGAACGCTGTGGGGGGCTAGAGCGCCCCAGCCCACCACATGTTCTTTTGAGTTGCATATGTCTGGAGTATGAGTGGGACCCTGGAAACAGCCTCCCTTGGGCAGTGTACAACCTGGGCTCCCTGCTGGGCAGCCCGGAGTAGGCTCTCAGGCTGGGATCCAGGATGACACTCCCAGGGTCCAGAGCTGGCCCAGCAGGCGACCCTGCTGGCAACCTTTGCCCACCCTCGTCCATGAGCACCTTCACACACACACACACACACACCACACTCGCACACATGCACGATGCTGCACCCATCGGCAGAGGCTCAGTCCATCACACAAGAACCCGGCCCTGTGCTGGGGTCCCAGCTACTCAGGAGGTCAAGGTGAGAGGATCGCCTGAGCCGAGGAGGTCGGGCTGCCATTGGCCAAGATAGCACCACGGCACTCCAGCCTGGGTGACAGAACAAAACCTTGTCTCTAAAATAAATAAAAAAGAACCAGACGGCCAGGCACGGTGGCTCACGCCTGTAATCCCAGCACTTTGGGAAGCCAAGGCAGGTGGATCACCTGAGGTCAGGTGTTCAAGATGAGCCTAGCCAACATGGTGAAACCCCATCTCTACTAAAAATACAAAAATTAGCCGGGCGTGGTGGCACACACCTGTAATCCCAGCTACTCAGAGGCTGAGGCAGGAGAATTGCTTGAACCCGGAAGGCAGAGGTTGCAGTGAGCCGAGATCATGCCACTGCACTCCAGCATGGGCGACAGAGCAAGACTCCATCTCAAAAAAAAGAAAAAGAAAAAAAAAAAGGCTGTGCCCAGTGGTTCATGGCTGTAATCCCAGCACTTTGGGAGGCTGAGGAGGACAGATTATGAGGTCAGGAGTTCGAGACCAGTCTGGCCAACATAATGAAACCCCATCTCTACTAAAAAAATACAAAATATTAGCCGGGTATGGTGGTGGGCGCCTGTAATCCCAGCAACTCGGGAGGCCGAGGCAGGAGAATCGCATGAACCAGGGAGACAGAGGTTACAGTGAGCCAAGATTGCACCATTACACTCCAGCCTGGGTGACAGTGTGAGACTCCATCTGAAAAAATAATAACAACCAGACTCCCCACATCCAACAATCTCAGGCACTTATTAAGTACCTGCTGTGTGCCAGAAACCTTGCTGGGGATCCAGAGGAAACAGTCCTAGCAGGTGGCTGGGCAAGAGTCTGGGGTCCTGACGTGGAGGCAGGAGGGGCTGGAATCCTTGCCAACGGTCTCCCTCCAAGGAAGCCCGGCCCAGGCACCCACCCTTTAGTCACCCTCCCCTGGGGCCTGAGAGTCCCCCTTAGCTCACACACCTGGGTCAGTTCCAGGCAGCCCCACCCAGGGTGGAGCTGTGAGGCCCCAGAACTGAGAGGCCGCCATCATTCCTGGCTCTGCCACTGACAGGCTGCCCAGAGCCAGGCCCACTTAGCCCCTGGCGGCCAGGCGTCCTCCCGCTGGGCACCCGATGCCTAAGCACCCTGCCAGCCCAGGCAGTGTTAATGAGGCCGTCATGCCAATCAGAGGGACAGGCCGCCTGGGCTCCTTCACAGCCTGGCTGGGTGTTGGGGAGTGGAGGTGAAGCCAGTGTCTGTGTCTGAGGCGGGGGGACCATGGGCACAGCTGTCCCTCTGGCGTCTACGACTCACAGACCAACTGAGCTGTGCCCTCACAATCCAACGGGAGGCTGGGCACAGTGGCTATGCCTGTAATCCCAACACTTTCAGAGGCCGAGGCAGGCAGATCACTTGAACTCAGGAGTTGGAGACCAGCCTGGGCAACATAGCGAAACCCCATCTCTACTAAAAATACAAACATTAGCCGGGCATGGTGGCAAGTGCCTGTAGTCCCAGCTACTTGGGAGGCTGAGGCAGGAGGATTGCTTGAGCTCGAAGGTAGCAGTGAGCCAAGATTGTGCCACTGGACTCCAGTTTGGGCGAAGAGCGAGACCCTGTTTCAAGAAAAAAAATTTAAGAAAAGATCCAATGGGAAATTGAAGTGCAGGCAGCACCCCAGCTTGTGCCCCTAATCCAGAGATACTTCCCTGGCATCGGTGCTAGGCCTGGGTCCTCAGTTCCGTTGAAACTGTGGGAGAGAGTGTGTGGGCATCGTCTCTGGGGAGGGGGTGTAACCCCAGATTGCGTCTTCCTAGGATGGTGCCTGGCACATGACCTGGTTTCGCACACAGTTGGTGCCTCATAAAAGCGTGTGAATCACAGAGGCGGATGAGGCCAGTGCACAGGGAGAGGCAAGACCAGGCCCTGGCGTCGTGGCGTGCACTGTGCCCTTAGGCGGTATTTGAATGTGGGAGTCTCTCTGCCCCCACCCGGGCCCTGAGCACGGGGACAGTGAGGACAGGTTCCTTTTCCTCCCGTGTCTGCAGGTGCCTGGCACAGTTGCCATCCAGAGCTTACAGGACAGAGGGAGAGTCCCTGAGTCTGTGCACACTCTGCCACTGTGGCCCCGCCCATCTCTGGGGCCCACAGGTGCCCAGCCCAGGCCCCTTGCTTTTGGCTAGACTCCTGCCATATGGGGACCCCCATGATAGCCATTCAGGAGATGGGGGGCCCAGGAGGTCAGGGGATTGACTCCAGGCCATGACCGGAAGTGCCCTGCGGCCCCTGTTCCCAGTCCCCAGGGAGATCTGAGGGTCACATGCTGTTATGAGGAAGAGGACACCAGGTTGGCCCTGGCCCAGGGTGGGCAGCTCTGGTTTCACTACTTGGCTCTGAGCCCCTGAGGCAGGTGCAGGCGCCAGGCATGGTGAGCAGGGCCCAGTGCCCCTCAGGCTCTGGGGAAGGGGTGCAGCTAGGTGGCCCAGAGCAGGGAGGTGCTGGGGACAGGTGTGACCACTTCCAGTCTCTCCCAGCCTGTTGGCCTTCATCCTCTCCCAGATTCCAAGGGTCACCGCTGGGAGCACGGGGTGGACAGCGTCCCACCAGCCTCCTGGATGCACATCCGTAAAGACTCCAAAGTGAAGTGAGGCTGGCTTCACTCCAGCTCACAGCAGAGGAAGGGGCAGCCTCAGGACCAGCGACTTGCTCAGAGTGCACAGGAGTGTGCCGGGGCCAGGCCAGACTGGGGCCTCTGACCCTGACTCTTGCCTGCAGGGCTGCACGGCCACTGTGTTCCACCTTCCAGTGTGGGCAGCAGTCCAGTGCGCGTCATTCTGGGGCCTGAGCAGCGTGGCCAGAGGCTGGCCTGGGGTGGAGATGACCTGGCTGTAGGTTGTGGGTGGGGTCCTTGCTGTGCTCCTGGCAGCAGGAATCAGAGAAGCAGTAACTGGATCCGGCTGAGGGCCTGGCGGCCACCGAGGGTACACGCGGCGATCGGGTTGCGGCCAAGCCGTGAGCGTTCCACCGGGCAGCTCTACATCGGGAAGGGCCGGCCCAGGCTGGGAGCCCACACGGGGTTGGAGGAGGTGGGCAGGAACGAGAGAGGCCAAAAGGTGCAGGGCCATGAAGAGGGGCGCTGGGCCTACGCTGTGAGGAAACAAGGGTCAACCCTGCCCTCCAGCCCTGCGGGCCCTCAGGCTCTGGACTCTGCAATCCAGGAGTGGCTGAAATCCAAGCTCAGAGTAATGAAAAGTACCGCTCCTAAGCTGCAAGTCTCTGATCCGCTCTCCCCGCCCGCCCTCTGCTGCCCTCGAGCCCTCTAAGAGCTTCCCAGGCTGCTGCCGCAGGTCAGAGGCAGGTCAGAGCACACAGGGGATCCATGACACCGGCTGGGTCTGGGGGCCGTGGGCCAGCTGAGCCGACCTGGGGTTCTGGGGGGCCGCGGGGGCCGTGAGCACTCAGAGGGAGCGTCCCAGGCCCCTCCGGGGACCTGGCCAGCCTGAAGATGCCGACCAACGGCCTGCACCAGGTGCTGAAGATCCAGTTTGGCCTCGTCAACGACACTGACCGCTACTTGACAGCCGAGAGCTTCGGCTTCAAGGTCAATGCCTCGGCGCCCAGCCTCAAGAGGAAGCAGACCTGGGTGCTGGAGCCCGACCCTGGACAAGGGTCGGCTGTGCTGCTCCGCAGCAGCCACCTGGGCCGCTACCTGTCGGCAGAAGAGGACGGGCGCGTGGCCTGCGAGGCAGAGCAGCCGGGCCGTGACTGCCGCTTCCTGGTCCTGCCGCAGCCAGATGGGCGCTGGGTGCTGCAGTCAGAGCCGCATGGCCGCTTCTTCGGAGGCACCGAGGACCAGCTGTCCTGCTTTGCCACAGCCATCTCCCCGGCCGAGCTGTGGACCGTGCACCTGGCCATCCACCCGCAGGCCCACCTGCTGAGCGTGAGCCGGCGGCGCTATGTGCACCTGTGCCCGCGGGAGGACGAGATGGCTGCGGACGGTGACAAGCCCTGGGGCGTGGACGCCCTCCTCACCCTCATCTTCCGGAGCCGACAGTACTGCCTCAAGTCCTGTGACAGCCGCTACCTGCGCAGCGACGGCCGCCTGGTCTGGGAGCCGGAGCCCCAGGCCTGCTATACGCTGGAGTTCAAGGCGGGCAAGCTGGCCTTCAAGGACTGCAACGGCCGCTACCTGGCACCCATGGGGCCTGCTGGCACCCTCAAGGCCGGCCGAAACACGCGGCCCAGCAAGGACGAGCTCTTCGACCTGGAGGAGAGTCACCCTCAGGTGGTGCTGGTGGCTGCCAACCACCGCTACGTCTCTGTGCGGCAAGGTAAGGAGGGCACAGGTGGTGACCTCCTGAGGGGTGCTGGGACCTCCCCCTGCTTCGGGAAAGAGGCCGTGGGCGTCTCACGGGGAGTGGCATCGTGTCTATGTGTTCGCGTGTTTGTTCTGGGCTGGGGGTCCATGTGGGACATGTGTGGCCACTCAGGGTCGGGTGGGTGGCCCTCCGGCCATGCCCAGGGGACCCCCACTGAGGGGTGGTGGCTTCAGGGTCAGAGGCAAGGGTTCCCGGCCTTTCTCAACATAGCTGGAGAATGTCTCAGCCAAGCCCCGGGCAGCTGCAGATTCAGACTGCAGAGGTGTGGGCCAGGCGATGGGCAGTGCCCAGCAGGGGCAGGAGGCCTGACCTGGTGCCATGAGGGGCATGTGGGCAGGAGGCTGTGGGGGGCCCATATTTCCCCTTCTCTTCCTCCACCCCATTTTCCGGACTTTATTTTTTGAGAGGGAGTCTTGCTCTGTCGCCCAGGCTGGAGCACAGTGGTGTGATCTTGGCTCACTGCAAACTTCGCCTCCCGGGTTCATGCCATTCTCCTTTCTCAGTCTCCCGAGGAGCTGGGACTACAAGCGCCCGGCACAACGCCCAGCTAATTTTTTTGTATTTTTTAGTAGAGACAGGGTTTCACCATGTTAGCTAGGATGATCCCGATCTCCTGACCTCGTGATCCACCCTCCTTGGCCTCCCAAAGTGCTGGGATTATAGGCGTGAGCCACTGCACTCGGCCGAATTTCTGGACTTTAAAGGAAGTTGGGGAGGGGCCCAGGGCAGGGCAGGGAGCCCGGGGTAGGGCGGGGATGGCACCACCATGTGCCTGACCAGTGGAGCCTCATGTCCTCAGGAGTTGGGGGAGCTTAAGGTCAGCTCCAGTGTTGGAGGACACAGTGGGCAGGCGGCCTCACCCGGGGCCTGGGCTCCTGGTGGGGAGGCACCTCCGTGCTCCAGTGGGGCGTGGCCTGGCTCTCCCCAGTTCCTGGGTCACCAGTTGCCTCCCTGCGTGACTCCCTCCACCGCCTGTGGGGTGAACCCCAGCAGTTCCTCCTTCCCCACTAGCTGAGCTCTGAGGCAGACGCCCTGGCCCAGGCAGTCACTACCCACCTGGGCTCCTGGCTCCATGCACCCCAGAGTGGATCTGAGGTAGTCTGAAGAGGCAAGGTGGGGAGAGCAGGGTGAATGGAGCTCCTCTATCTCCTGGCAGCTCCCAGGTGCCCACCAAGCCCCTGCCCTGACGGATGTTCAGGCCCCCTGGGCACACGGATACTCTGGGGCCAGACGGCAGAGGCCCCACCCTGCACACTGAGAGGGGAGCCCGGCCATGGCTATGGGGTCCTGCACCTGCAGTCAGTGTCCTCGGGCCTATCCCAACAGTGACAGGGTCCCAGGAGTGAGGGTTCAACTGTGGATGCATGGTCATGGCCCTTCCTTCCCATCACAGCCCACAGTCCAGCTACAATGCCTGCTGGCCTGGGCCTAGGCCCGGGCATGTGGCCATCCTTAGGAGGTTAAAGGGGGTAAGTGGGACAGTGGTAGTGAGAATGCTTCCTCCATGGGAGCCAAAGACACTGGACCTTTAGCCATTTGTAAGTGGACGGCTTGGGAAGCAGACTCAAAGCGGCAGCCATGGCAGTGGCCATGGCATTGGTGGTGTGATGTGGATGGTGGCATGGAGGTGGAGGTGAGGGCCGTGGTGACAGTGTGGTGGCAGCGGCGACGATGGTGATGGTGGTGATGGTGATGATGATGATGGTGATGATGAAGGTGATGGTGGTGATGAAGGTGATGAAGGTGATGGTGATGGTGCTGATGGTGATGGTGATGATGGTGCTGATGGTGATGGTGATGATGGTGATGATGGTGATGGTGGTGATGGTGGTGATGATGAAGGTGATGGTGATGATGGTGGTGATGGTGGTGATGGTGCTGATGGTGCTGATGGTGATGGTGGTGATGAAGGTGATGGTGATGATGGTGATGGTGGTGATGATGAAGGTGATGGTGATGATGGTGGTGATGAAGGTGATGGTAATGGTGATGATGGTGATGATGAAGGTGATGGTGATGATGGTGCTGATGGTGATGGTGATGATGAAGGTGATGGTGATGATGGTGATGGTGGTGATGGTGCTGATGGTGATGATGGTGATGATGGTGATGATGGTGGTGATGGTGGTGATGGTGATGGTGATGGAGGAGTGCTGATAGAGTGGTGGAGGGATGGGGACTGTATGGACCATTTTTCAGTCTCTTGATCCTCAACCACCCTGCATCTGACCCCATTGTCCTTTTGAGGGGAGAATCCCCTACTCAAGACTGGCTCCCATCTCCCACTTTAGAAACAGGAAGCAGCAGCCACTCACCTCCCTGCCTTCAGCAGGGCCAAGGGTGAGGACCTGGCCGCCAGGTGTTTCAGGCTCTGGATTGGCGGCCAGTGCTGTGGGGAGCGGGACGTGGCATCTCAGTCCTGGGGCATGGAACCCCCCCAGCTTCCAAGGCAGCTGCAGCGTGGGAGGCGCTATAGTGTCACCCCCACCCGGCCTCTGTGGAGCGGCCACATGGCAGGCCCTTCATTGAGGCATCTCCCTGGCTGGGTGGCCCCTAAGCCTCTCCTCCCCCTGGGAGGGGAGTGAGCACCCAGGCTTGCATGTATCCCCCGCCATCAGCCAGAGCCTGCTCATTTCTGCCAGCAGACAGCGTGGCAGGCAGTGTCCGATGCTGTAACAGAAAACTGGCCACAGGCTGGCTCCAGCAGTGACACAATCATCTGAAACGGGAGTCCAGAGCCCTGGGCATGGTGGGTTCCCAGGCAGCCACCATCACCCGCTCAGCAGCTTCCCCGGGGTCCTCCGTTCTTACCTCTTTGCTGAACCACTCTCCTGGGTCAGCTCTGACCTTAGCCTGACGCCCTCATGGTCGTAATGTGGCTGCTGGTATTCCAGGCCTCACATCCAGGCAGGACCAAGTCCAGAGAAAAAAGAGGCACTGGCTCTGCTTGTGTCCTCTCAGGAGTAAGAACACTTCTCCCCTAAGTCCTAGCAGACACTTCTTCACGCTCATTGGCCAGAACTGAGTCCCCCAGCTGCTCAACTAGCCCCTCTGGAGTTGGGTAAAACCAGTGTTGCCCAGGCCAATGCCAGCTGCACTCCTCTCCTATTTTGAGGTCATTTCTCTGGAAGCAAATGGCTGAATGAGGCAGCCCCAGACAGCATTCTGTCTGAAGGAGGTGTGGGGGCAACACTAGGGACACCAAAGTGCTGGTCCGGGAGGCACGGTGGCGGGGGCAGCCCTGCGATGCTGTGGCTTTACCCCACTCTTCCTTCAGTGCCCGCAGGGACGGCGTTGCCACGCCCCTCATGGGCCTCCCCTCCTGAGGGGTCCTGCTACCCCCGGGCACCATGTCAGTGCTGCCCTCCACTGGGCCCAGACAGCTGCTCTTAGCTCAGTATTTGCCAGGATCTAGAGCTGGTGGCAGTGGGGTGCTGGCACGAATGCTCGGCCACAGTGCAGGGGACATGCTGGTTGCTCCTCTGCATCTGATCAGTGGTGAGTGTGAGGGAGACCCCAGCCTGGGGTGTGAGGGGCAGCTTTGGGGCTCTCAGAAGGGAACAGGTCCCAAGCTCTCTGGCAGTCATAGCCTGGTAGCCTGGTGCCCTCTCCCCTGGGGACAGAGTGGGATGGGATCTGGCCCCACCCTCAGGCCCTGTGGGGCTCTGCCCACCACTCCCTCCCAGTCCCCAGCTGGACAGGCCACCAGAGTCCCTGGGCCTCGTGGGGGGCTCCGCAATTTGATACATCACTCCCAGTGGCCAGTTGCCATGGAAACAGGGAGGTGGCTTGTGGGAAGAGCCAGGGACTCAGTTCACAGAAGATCCTGGGGTGGCTCTAGTGTCTGCTGTCCCCATGCTGGGCATGGGTGCCCCTCCATCCCCTTGCAGGAACCCCAGATGGAGCCCAGGGCAGTCTTGTCCTCCCCCAGGGGTCCCGGGAGACCAAACACGGATAGTTGGGGCTTCTGCAGAGGTGACAGGGACCAGCCCCTGCCTGGTGCCCAGGGGTGCCCCCATCACCATCCCCATCCCCACCATCCCCATCGTTAGGTCCTGCCTGTGCCCACCCAGCAGCTTAGGGTGAATTATAAATAGAGGCTGGTGTAAGCCCTGGGTCAAGAGAGCAGGGCAAGGAGATTACCAGCTGATTACTGATTAGCAGAGAGTGGGGGCTGTGCCAAGCAGAAGGGCCTGGCTCCTGGGGGTGTGGAGGGAGGTCACGGCTCCCTTGGGGACAGTGTGCAGGGTCCACAGACGGCACACATGGCCCTGGGGCAGGGTTCCCAGGCTCTCTGAGAGGTGCCTTCCAAATCTTCTCAAGTCAAGAGATTTCTAGATGAGACCCCTCTGGCTTCAGGGGTGCCCCCAAAAGCATGCCCCCATCTCCTGCTCCCTACCCAGGAGAGGCGTGAGGGGCTTCCCCATCTCCTCCCTCCAGGGGTCAACGTCTCAGCCAATCAGGATGATGAACTAGACCATGAGACCTTCCTGATGCAAATTGACCAGGAGACAAAGAAGTGCACCTTCTATTCCAGCACTGGGGGCTACTGGACCCTGGTCACCCATGGGGGCATTCAGGCCACAGCCACACAAGTGTGAGTGCACACATCCCTCCCTCCTCCAACATCCCCCTTACCACCATCACCATCCCCACCATCATCGCCATCCCCATGACCATCATCTCCATCTCTACCATCACTATCATCCCCATCACCATCTCTATCCCCATCTCCACCACCATCCCCATCTCCATCATCTCCACCACCATCCCCATCCCCATCATCTCCACCACCATCCCCATCCCCATCATCTCCACCATCATCCCCATCTCCACCACCATCCCCATCACCATCCCCATCCCCATCTCCATCATCTCCACCACCATCCCCATCATCTCCACCATCATCCCCATCTCCATCTCCATCCCCACCATCATCCCCATCTCCAGCTCCATCTCCATCCCCACCACCATCCCCATCCCCATCTCCATCCCCATCTCCACCATCCCCATCTCCATCATCTCCACCACCATCCCCATCATCTCCACCACCATCCCCATCCCCATCCCCATCTCCATCATCCCCACCACCATCCCCACCTCCATCTCCATCCCCATGTCCATCTCCATCTCCATCCCTATCTGTATCCCCATCACCATTCCCATCACCTGCACCATCACTTCCGCCACCATCACTGCTTCGGCCGTGAGGACTGCCGTGGCAGCTCAGAGAGGAAAGCCCACTGGGGCCAGGTAGCTCCTGATGGTGGCGGGTGTGTCAGTGGAAGGCAGGCTCCTGTTCCACTCCTTGGAACCTGAGGAGGATAGGGAAGAGATACCCTGCACCCCCATCTCCTGCTGTCCTGAGGAGACCTTTCGCTGCTCCCTCCAGTTCCGCCAACACCATGTTTGAGATGGAGTGGCGCGGCCGGCGGGTGGCACTCAAAGCCAGCAATGGGCGCTACGTGTGCATGAAGAAGAATGGGCAGTTGGCGGCCATCAGCGATTTTGTGGGTGAGCACTCCGCCTGCCAGGGACCGGGGCAGGGGCTGTCTCCACCCAGGGACAGCGCCTGCCCAGACACCCCATCTCCACCGAGAGCTGGACCCTCCCTAGCCCGTGGAACGGCTGCTGTCATGGAGTCATACTTGCTAGTCAAGATAACCGTCTTGGCAAGGGAAACAGTTAGGTCCTTATGGGAGTGTCCTTTTCTCCGCTGCCGGGAACCTCCTAGGCACCTTGCCAAGGTCGCACATGAGGCAATGGCAGGCCTGGGCCCCTAAGTCCAGGTGTGGCGCTTCCCAGGGACCCCACCCCCCCGGCCTGGACAGGGAAGGTGGCGGGAGGGGCAGCGCAGCAGACGCTCTCCCTGCCAGGCAAAGACGAGGAGTTCACCCTCAAGCTCATCAACCGGCCCATCCTGGTGCTGCGCGGCCTGGACGGCTTCGTCTGCCACCGCCGCGGCTCCAACCAGCTGGACACCAACCGCTCTGTCTACGACGTCTTCCACCTGAGCTTCAGCGACGGCGCCTACCAGATCCGAGGTGCGCGGCGGGCAGGGTGGGCACGCGGGAGCGGGTCGCAGCGGGCAGGTGGGCACCCCCGCCAACGCCGTCCCGTCCCCCAGGCCGCGGCGGCGGATTCTGGTACACGGGCAGCCACGGCAGCGTGTGCAGTGACGGCGAACGCGCCGAGGACTTCGTCTTCGAGTTCCGCGAACGCGGCCGCCTGGCCATCCGCGCCCGGAGCGGCAAGTACCTGCGCGGCGGCGCCTCGGGCCTGCTGCGCGCCGACGCCGACGCACCGGCCGGGACCGCGCTTTGGGAGTACTGAGGCCGCGCCCGGACCAGCCTATCGCGCATTACACTGTGTCTGTCCCGCAGCCGCGCATAGGCTTCCGGGTGCCGCTTGAGGGTCCTGCAGCTGTAGGGGGAGGAAGCCCACAGTTTCCCCCAAACCAGAGCGTGCCCAGAACCTCCCAGTGCCCAAGGACTCGCATCCAGGAGGTGGCCTTGTGGATGGGCAGGGTGACCGGGCAGGGTGACCCAGCCCGGTGGGGGTGGGGCGGAGGGGAGGTCTTGAGGACGTGGGGAAGATGGGGGCTGGGGGTGGGTGGCGGACTGAGCCTGGGCGGGCTGAGGCCACCAACACATATCACAGATGACCTCACTGGACACCACCCCTCCCCAACCTAGGTCCTCAACCCTCCCTAGCCCCTGGCAACCCCTTGCTCTCCCCCTGACTCTCAGAGCAAGACACAGGCACAAGCGTTGGACAAAGGTCAGAGCCAGAGGCTCCTGGGTGGGGGGGTGGGGGGGGGGGAAGGGGGCAGGGCGGGGCGCAGAGGACAGTTGGGGAGCACAGCATGGATGGGACCGTTAAGGGGTGCAGGCCCGCCTTGGTGGGTGGCTCACCCGGCCCCCGCTCTCCCAGCAACACAGGCCGTGGCCGCACGGAAAAGGCCGGATTTGGAGTGTCACCAGGGGGCCTTGCTCCCTGAGATGTGGCGACCACTGAGGGAGACAAACCCTGACTCGGAGCACCCCACAGGCCCCTCCCACTCCATGGAGAGGAAGGCAGGAGAGCCAGGCAGTGGCCCCAGGCCTCCCAGACACCCCCGTGGAGCAGAGCCCTCCTCAGGGGTAACTGGGTCACAGCGAACACTTTTTCCTTGGAGGCCACCCCCGTGCTGGGGGCTCCCAAGCAGTGCCATGACTCTGGAGGGAGCCCAGTGAGAGGCTGGGAAGGGGTGAGAAAACACAGCCGAGGCCTGAAGTTTCACAGACAGGGTCGTTTGTCACAGCAGAGAAGCACCTCACGGCTCCTACCCGCACTCTTGGCAGACAGTGCCTGCAGCGGGAGGCACGAGCACCCTCCCCAGATGAAAACACCAGCACCAGGAGGCGGGCCGTAGCCCAGTCTGAGGGAGGGGGCTGGGGGCTGGGGGCTGGGGCTCAGGGCACCCCGAGGCCACAGCACCACCGAGTGGCCCTGAAAATAGTGCACAGTGCTGGGTACAGCCCCGGCCGGGGGCACCTAGTTGTTGAGCATTCCGGCCACAGGCCACCCGATGGCCCTTCCTTGGTGTGGCACAAGGCCACGGGCACTTGCAGGAGCTCCCTGCATGCTGTTTTGTGCTTTGGTCTCAGGGAGCACCCTCCCACCTCGGGGTCCCAGAGTGGGCAGCCGGGCAGGTGTGAACAGTGTGACAAGGGTACCGTGGGGCGCCTGGTGGCGCCACCCAGAGGGGCAGCTGGTGCTCCTGGTGGTGTGGCAGCAACAGTTACAAACTCACCCCAAGTCCAAACCCCAGAAATCCTGTTTCTCCGGCCCTTAGGGTCCAGAATGCACCGCACTGCCTCCTGGCCTCAAGGGCTGCTGCTGCGGTGGGAAGGCTGCCCAGCAGTGAGGAAGGCAAGTGCAGGGGCTGCGGCCGCGGTCAGAGGAGAGAGACCAGCAGAGGACGCGAAGCTGGACCGGCCAGGTTCAGAGCCCACCTCGGTTGCTCCCAATCAGAATCTGCTTTGTGCTTCACAGCCTTCAAGCACTTTCATGAGTGTTCTGCTCCCACGTGGCCAGGCCACACCTTCCCTGACAGCTCTGACCAGGCCAACTCATTTTCCTCTAAAACCACAAAGTCCTGGGGGGCTGTTACAGAGGCTGGAAGCGTAACCAGAGCCGTGGCCAGGGCAGGCCCGCCTGGTCACAGCAGGATGAGGCTGGGGTGGCGCAGCTGCCGGTACACCTGCAGCAGCCTCTGGGCGGTGGCGCAGGAGCTGGCCTCATCCTCTGTGCAGAGCCGGTCGCGCAGGGTCTGCACCTCCCGCAGCAGCGTCTGCAGGTGGAGCAGACACAGCTCAGGTCCCCACCTGGCCCTGGGGATGTCACTGGATGTCTCTGGGGGACCCACCACTCGCAGGACCATACTTGGGAAGTGACAGGTGGTCCAAGGATGAACACTCATCTGGAACCTTAAAACATGGGACACGCAGCCTGGCCTGGACACCTGGCCCCTCAAGGAAGATGAGGGGCAGGAAGGGCTGTGGTCACTCGGACTCTGCCCCAGGCCCACGAGAGCCAAGCCCACGCACTGCGAGGACTCTGCAGACTCCGGGTGACTGGAGAAGGGCCTGCCGATGGGCGCTCCTGGCTACCCAGGTGGAGGGGATTGCCCAGGGCACCGGGTGCTCACCTCGTGGTTGGCATGGATCTGGCGGAGATACTGCACACGGAGATCAGGAGCGCTGGAGCCCTGGGCGGCCTGCTCTGTCACCATCGTCTGGGGGGGACACAGGGGACATGCTGGAGAGGGTGTGCCCCAGCACCTGCCCCCACACCCCTTGAAGCAGGGTGACCCTCTCCTTCTATCTGCCTAGCGCTGCCTCCCTGCCTGGCACCCCCCCAGCCACTTTGCTGTTTTCCACCCCACTGTTCACCTTGACTTCCTGCCCTCCAGAGCAGCAGGGCACAGAGCCCCTGGCCTGACAGTTTCTTGGAAATGAACTTGTTTGGTTCTTTTCTCTCCACTAGTGGGACCTTCCTTGTCCCCAAGAGCCACACTCTATGCAGATCCAGACCTGCCTGCTGTCCCCTTCTCCCATCCTGGGCTTCAGGCCGCTCAGGAGCACAGACCAGCCAGGGAACTCCCTTAGCATCTTGTGCAGAGACCCTGGCCTGGCCATTCACTCAGTCACGTGGCACAGTCCAGTGTGGGCTGCGGCACTGGCTCCCTGGGCTCGGATCTAAACTTCCCAGATGGGCTCAGGCCTGTAATCGCAGCAATTTAGGAGGCTGAGGCAGGCAGATAACTTCAGATCAGGAGTTCAAGACCAGCCTGATCAACATGGTGAAACCCCATCTCTACTAAAAATATAAAGAAATCGGCCGGGCGCAGTGGCTCACGCCTGTAATCCCAGCATTTTGGGAGGCTGAGACGGGTGGATCACAAGGTCAGATCAAGACCATCCCGGCGAACACGGTGAAACCCTATCTCTACTAAAAAATACAAAAAACTAGCCAGGCGAGGTGGCGGGCGCCTGTAGTCCCAGCTACTCGGGAGGCTGAGGCAAGAGAATGGCGGGAACCCGGGAGGCGGAGTTTGCAGTGAGCTGAGATCAGCCACTGTACTCCAGCCTGGGCGACAGAGCGAGACTCCGTCTCCAAAAAAAAAAAAAAAAAGAAATTAGCCGGGCCTGGTGACAGGAGCCTGTAATGAGGGAGGAGAATCACTTGAACCTGGGAGGCAGAGGTTGCAGTGAGCCGAGCTCGCTCCACTGGCCTAGCAGCCTGGGTGACAGAGCCGGAGCTCTATCTCAAACAAACAAATAAATAAATACAACTAAATTTCCAGATGAGCCTGGGCAGTGAGGTTCCTGCAGGCTCTTGGAGCAAAGCAACTGAGAAGAGATCCTGACACCCTGAGGGGCAGCACTGGCCTGCCTGGGGTCCCAGAAGTGCTGGTAGCTGCCGTGTGCTGGGTAGGGTCCTGAGAGCACTCCTGCTCGCGAGGTGGGCACCTAGCTGTTGGGGAACACTAAGGTCTGCAGCCCAATATGAGATCTGTGTCCAGGAGGCAGCAGCACTGCGTGGGCTCCTGTGGGCTGACTCAGGCCCCCCCAGATTCATGCGGAAGCCCTAGTGCCGGCACTCAGAGCGTGGCTGCGTCTGGAAATGGAGTCTCTGCAGATGACCAAGATGAGATCGCGGGAGTGGGTTTGACCCCACATGACTGTGTCCTTGTAAGATGAGAAAAACCTAGACACAAACCCAGGGGCTGGAGCTCTGCTCTTGGCAGGGAACGGGACTTTCTTGGGGACCAGATGGCCCAGTGGGCAGAGCTTCCTTTGACAGGCAACACCTCAGCTCTGGAGATCCCCGTGGTGCCCCCAGCACTCAGGACAAGACCCCCAAGCCCAGGCAGCCCCCCATCGTGGTGCCGTGAGATAATTGGGGTCACAGTGCTGCGTAACATGCTCATCAGGGTCATGGAAGTGTAGGGTGCAAGGTCCTTGCACCAAATGAAATCTCTGGGTCATGGTGCTGTGTGAGCTGACGTGTTCATTGGGATCGGCCATCTGAGCCACCTGCTGGGGCTGGGCAGAGTCACTGCTCGCAGAGGGGCCTCGTCTCCAAGCGTCACCACAGTGCCCACGGGAGTTGAGCTGGCATCAGGCCGCAGGCCCTGGGCCTCAGGGTTGGGGAGGCCTGGGCATGCTCCAGGTGGAGCCGAGGCAGGGACCACCCCTAACAAGAAACTCCAGAACCAGTTTCTAGGGTTGCTGCAGACCCACCGTGTGGGCCAAAGCTGCGCTACAGTCCTAGTGGGTAGGTGTGACGGCTGCCCTGCTGAGGGCACAAGTTTAGACTTTAGCTTGGAACTTGGAGAGCTTCTTCTCAGATCTGGCAGCCGCTGGCCCAAGCTGGCTCTGGGCACAGCATGGAAGCAGCTATTCCTGTGCCAGGGAACCCCTGGGGCTGTGAGTGGGGGGAGCTGCAAACTCCACTCTCTTGGCAAAGACGTGGAGGCTCCCAGCACCTTGTTCTAGGATCCACGCCCAGGCCACGGCCTCTCTATGCAGCCTCTGCCCAGCCAGAGAAGGGAGGAAACCTTGGGCTGACCTCGCAGGCCACAAATAGAAGCCCACTGGCCACGTAGCCTGGGCAGTCCTTGCACTCACAGGTGCCCGGGGGTGACGGCACACCTGGGGAGCAGTACTGGCCTCCTGAGAGGGTCCACCTCATGCCTCTCATCGCCCACAGCCCCACTGCACAACACTGCACTCAGCGGCAGAGCAGGCTTGGATCTTCCTACAACTCTCGTGCAGGGAGCTGCAGACCCCGTGGCCAGCAGCTACAGGGTCCCATGCACGGACCTTAGTGAGCGACCCACAGATCCTGGCCGCCTTCCTGAGCGGGCCGACATACCTGCATGCGCCCGACAACGGCATGGTGCGCCCTGCAGATGTCGGCCAGAGAGGAGCTTTCCACTTGGATCTCCACGGCCTGGATGGGCCCGGCTGGGCAGAGGTCAGTCATGGCCACCTGCAACACAGGAGCCACCTCACTGCCTGCCTGTGGCACCCCCACCTGCCTGGGGGGCTCAGGCTACACAGAAGCCTCCCCAGCTGGCAGCACGTGAGGCCAACCCCCTGCCCTGGGTTGTCCTATACCCTGAAGGAGGCAGAGCTTAGTACCCTAGTTTAACTTTTTCCACCTGAAGAACCAGCCACCAACCAGTGGCAAGAACCTGCTCTGCGCCCAGATGAGTCAGGAAGACCCCGTCCCTCAGACCTGTGGAATT